CCCTATGATTCTATGATTCTATGAGAGGTTTTGTCTCATCTGTTGCTCTGTCACCATGAAAACAGTTTTTCAGTGAGCTGCTGTTCCTCAGCAATCAGTTTTCGGTAGGATAAACCACACAACAGTAATACAGGGCTACTCAATCCTGGTAATCATTCTTACTCATATCTTCATAAAAAAAATAAAAGGAGTCTAAACTGCATGTGTTTGCAAACTAAGCCTGATTGGACTGGTGGCTGTTCTGAGAATTGGCTTAGTGAGATTACTTTAAAAAAAATAAACAGATGGAGGGAAAAAAATTAGGACAAGTGATTTGGAAAAAAATTCTTTTTTTTCCCCCCATGATTGTCTGCTAATAAGATCACTTCAGCAATGATGCTGAAGAGCTGAGTATCACTTTTCCATTTTTAAACAAATGGGTTCTAATGTGAATACCTGCCAGAAACACAAGAACTATTTATGAGAAGAAGCTTCATTTTCTCCAGCGAAGTAATAGCCAGGATGCCTTCAGCTACTGTCTTCTCGTTACAGCTTGGTAGCCATTCCTGTATATGTGAAACACATGATCAGTTTTAAGGAAAACAGTTCTTCAGGAAGATTTGATGTTACCATTGGACCAAAACAGAATATGGGGAAAACAGTAGAAGGAGTTGTCATGACAGTGCACATGCCAAAGGCTGTACTTAATATGAACCTCACTGCTACACAAGGCAGCTATACATTTGACCCTGTTACTAAAGTAAGTCTGAAGTTTTTATTTAATTGATTATCTGAGACAACATTAGAACAAGTCATACGTATTGCAGAGCACTGGGGCAGTGCTCCACACGTGGCAGAAAACTTGCCCTTCAGTGTATGTTTATGAATTAAAATCTTCTCTTTAAGATTTACTTTTTCAAACCAAGATACACACCAGTTGTGATTTCTGGTTTCATCAGTCTCCTTCCCCTTCCCCTCTTTTCCCCTGCTCCACTCCCCTAATCTTTTTCCTTAGTGGATGCAGCAGTATTTTGTTGGTGGTTTCAGCCATAGTACATTTTGCAATCTATGTTCTTAAAAACATACTTATCTAGGTAAAATACAGTAGACTTGAACACAGGTAGCCAGAAAATCAGGGCAGGAAGTGAGTAAAAAATACCTTTTCCAAAAGATCTGCCTGAGAGCTAAATTTCCTAAAGTTCCTGAAGCTTTTCAGTACTCAGGATCCATTTTGTTGAATGGCAGTCTGAGCCAAACCATTCTGCTGGCTCCAGCACCCTGCTCTGAACCTTCTGCTGCCCTTGGAATATCCTAGTCAGCAAATTATTTGAGTCTACTTAAAAGTGAAAAAACTTACAAGTGAAATCTCTCCAAGTAACATTTTGTTTCAAGAACAGACATGGAGCTTTTAAAAACAAACATGCTTGAAGGCTCCTTTCCTTTCTGCAAATATGTTATACTGTATTTTTATCAGGAGCTGGGGTAACTAGGTGGATTTTAACTGCAAAGGTTTGTACAAGTAGGGAGAACTGAGGTTTTTCTGCCTTTATTAACAATTTCCAGTTTACATTAAGAACAAAAAAACCCCACCCTTTTATGGGCAAAGGGCAAAGTTGCTTCCATGTATCTTCTTTAAAGTGTAAGAATCACTGGGAGAAAAAAGTGATTCCTAGTAAAGTTACTCTAGTTTAAACATCTTCTTTTGCCAAGAATCTTGCTCCTGTCCTCCTCATTCTTGTGTTTCAATTCCTGTAACCTTTGTGCTGGTTACTCTCCTAGCTTCATGGTTCCAGCTGATCCCATCTGACAACAGGAACAATCACCATTACTAAGAGAACAAGGTGTACTAGGTGGACAGACAAACTAGGGGACACTGACAGGGCAAAAGAAATGCTGGGAAAGAAAAGACACTATACCTGCAGGAGCCTTAACCACACCATCTCCCAGCCAGTGGGATAATTCATAGGGCTGCCAGGCTACTTTCTGTACCCAGCCTGCAAACAAAAAGTTTGGCATGAACATGACCTCATAGGTTGCTTCCTAGAAAGCTCCTGCTACTATTCTCTCTTTCCTGACAAGGTGTTAACATGGGACGTTGGCAAAATTGCCCCTCAAAAGCTACCAAACCTGAAGGGCATAGTGAACCTGCAGTCTGGAGCCCCCAAGCCAGAGGAGAATCCAAGTTTAAACATCCAGTTTAAGATACAACAGCTTGCAATTTCAGGTGAGTGGGGGGATGTTACATCAAATTGGTACTGATGGAATGAGTAGCAGTAGGAAATGAAGTGAGAAAACTGCTAATCTTTTAATTGGAGATGCTGATCTGAAGTCAGCTGGTCCAAAATGATGAAGGCTATTTTACCCAGATGTGATAGTAACTCTTGCTGGAAGAATTCCTTGCTGGGAATTGTGAATTCCCAGTCGTTTTGCTAAAGAAAGACTGTGAGAAGCATATAGAAGAATGGATTTTTCTTGTTGACTTGTGCATTAAACGTACAAACTTACCCTTTTAGTGGAGAGTGATGTATGATGATTTAGCATATTGCTCTTGACTTGCTTTAGCCCTGTATCACTAAAGCCCTTTTTAGTTTTTATGAACTCAAATAATTTAAAAGAATTCTTTCCTTTTGGAGCTGTTTAGTTTTTCCACTTCAAAAGAATCTGCAAGTAAAATCAGAATGAAGTCTATAGTGTAAATACAGAAGGAAAGTTAAAGAAAACAGGGCCTCAGTCTGCAAACACTTAAATCCCATGAGTTGTCCATCTGTAAAGTGCTTCTGCAAGCAAGCTTTGCAGGATTAAGACCCTAACAAAGACTCACATTTGGAAAGAAGGATGACTGAAGGCAGTAGAGGAGAATCAGTAGTAGTACATGTAGTACCTTTTTAGGTAGGTACCAGGCTATAGTCCTTTTGTTTCCTAGCCTGCTTTGCTGAGTAAATAGCAGTTAGCCCTTGTATAAGAACAGAATCCTGCAGTTTTCTCTTAAACTTGCAACACATAGGTTTAGATCTTGCAGAGTGGATCAAACAGCTGGATGCCAGAGCTAATAGACCTGCGAGAAAACAGGGGACAACCTGAAACTTTTAGGTAATTAATAGGTACTTGCATTCCTCAATAGCAGAGGGCTTGTTGGTCCTTGTAATTAGGATTTAGAATGAAAAAAAAAAATTCTAAAACTTGGTCTTTTCTTCATCTATATTCCTGGAAGTGAGTGCAGCATACAGGAGTTGTAAAAGACACTCATTCATTCAGTAGCTCATCCTTTGGAAGGAGGATGTTGGCTCACTGAGTAGAACAGAAAAAAAGTTGTTGCCCTGCCCGGGCAGCTACGATGAGGTGACAAGAATGATCTCTTCTGCTGTTTCAAACCAGATGAACCTGTGAAAAGAAGGAAAATTAGCTTCCTAACCTGTGTTATCATGCTTCAAGAATGCAGGGCTTCTAAACAGACTGACAGGATTTCTGGCATTCGGCTTTTAACTTTGTACATGTTTTTGTCTTTTTCAGGACTGAAAGTAAATCGCCTAGACATGTATGGAGAAAAATACAAGCCTTTTAAAGGTGTCAAATATGTTACAAAAGCAGGAAAATTTCAAGTCAGGACATGAAAAGATGCTTTATTTCCAAGAGGAAATTCCCCTTCCAAAAAACTTGACTGCTTAGTGACTTATGTTGCTATTAATTAGGTGCCAATTAATTGACAGTGATTAGTTTGAGATCAAAACATTTGTGCACAGCAGCTCTTAAAATGAAAGCATAGCTTAGTTTTTCTTAATATGGCTTTAAAATAAGGTACTTTTTTCTAATACACCTTCACTCTTTTTTTTACTGAATTGTTGTGCTGGTGAATAGTTTGATCTAGGTGATCCACAAAATGCCGCAAACACTACACTGCCAGTCAGATACCAAAGCCCAGAGGCCAAGCACATTATGAAGGCCAGTCAGGCCACTGGAAAAGTCTTGTGGTGGCATGTTTTGCTGCTGCAGCTCCCTGCAAAGAAAGCTCAGCTATTCTCACAACCAGTTGCAAGCTGGCATTCCACAAAGCATCATATAATCCTTTCAGAAACAGCAGCAGCGAGAGGGGCGGGGGTCCCACAGGGTCCTGGGACATAGTGAGTATCACTCCTAAGAGAGAGCTTCAGATGAAGAAAAAAAAAATGTCCTTGTTTACAAGAAGTCGCCTTTCTTAAGAAGCATTTGCCTTAATCAGCTTTCATTTGTGCCATCTGCAGATGAGCTGATAAAACATAAACATCCTGCATTAAATCTGGGAGGTGATTGTTGCTTCAGTAATCCACTTTCGTTCCATTCAGTCTCCTCGTTGCCATCTTTTTAAGACTACAGTTGCAGAGAGTAAGATCTATTTTTTATGTGAAGCCTTTGCTTTGATTTAGATGTTCCACTCATTTGAAGTGGATGCCACCAGATTTGTGCCATGTGTACATTGGAGCGTAGCTTTTTAGACAGCACAATAGAAGTGTCAAGTGTATTTAATGGTTGTGTGCTTTAATGTTATGAAATAAAGGGAACTCTACTGCAAATACATCTTCTCTTGTGAAATGTTCACGCTCTTGTAAACTATTCATGATGCTTTTAGGCAGGAGCTGTCTGATACACAGTTAAAAGATGACAGTTTGCTACATCTTTACTGAACTTGATGACTGTGCAGCTATTTAAAGTTTAGAAAGGGCACTTACGAGCATGGCAGGTAAGCTCACTTCCATATTTTTTACTTTTAAATGGAGAATAATTGATGTTTAGATCATGAAATTTCAAACACTGATGGTCCAAAGCTGGCTAAACTTCCTTGTACACCAGCATAAACTCTTTATCTCTGTAAACCAATACATGCTCCACAGTATTTCAAAGGTTTCAAATCATACATTTGGTCAGTATATAGCAGGCCAAGAAACCCAAGTTGAGAATAAAGGAAGGGTGTGATACTAGAAAATCTTTGTTTCAGTGATCTGTTTGGCTTACAAATCGATGAACAGGTACTAGCTTTGCTTCAGATGAGGAATAGGAACTAAAGCATTCAGTAGTCAAAATTTAAAATACTGGGTCAAAAAATAATTCAGTCTGAAAAAAGGAGGGGGAATACATCTGAACACTGGCAGTGAGCTGATAAGAAAATAAGTGAGCATATATTCTCTATTGGTAACTTTGATAATATCACTAGGGTCAACTCGACCACAACAACCCCTTTGAATTTCTGAAATTGCAGTAGATTTATATCAGCAAAGCAGCATTTTTAAGAACTAATACCTGTAAGAAAGCCTTGTGTTTGTGTAGGCACAACACTGGGTATTAAAAGCTACCAACCTTCCAGTCCAGCTTTTTCAGATGGAGGAAAATCCATCAGTTCCACTACTTATCCTCTAGTTCCGCTCCACATTTCAAACAGCATCCTTCAGCTACAGTAATTTTACTAGAAATTCTGTCTTCAGGTGCAACTTATGTCCCAAGCTTAAGTCTGGGTAGCTAGTGCTGCTCTCTGCATTATCAGCCTGGAAATGCTTCAAGATGTCTTTTCAGAGCTGAGAAGGTTACTGGTGCAGAACAGAGTGTAACAGCGAAGTGGCCAGCCCGAGCACCCGCACTGCCCTTAGCATCCTGCAGAGCAAGCCTTGCAGCATTCTGTATCTCAGGCACCACGCACAGAGCTGCTGTCTCTGGGAAGGCTTGGATCCATTCTTCACAGCCTACCACCAGCAGTCACTGTCAACAAGAGTTCTACTCACCTGGTAGGAAACCACCCTGAGCATGAAAGATGCTTTTCATCAGGGAAATGGTGCTTGTTGTGAGGCTTGCACATTTTGCTGTAGGTGTGCTGGCTCCTGCTGTTCCTTGAAACACAGGAAACTCAGCTGCAGAATCTACAGAAGAGGGGGGCCTATGTTCATATTCTCCCTGTTAAAAAAAAAAATAAAATTGCACCAGCACCCTCAGGATTAATACAGCTTAAAAAAAATGAGGGGATGTCACTGAGGAATTAGTACTGACAGCTTTTGATCTCCCCTTCTCTAGGTGTCCAGCTCTGGGAGTGCTGACAAAAGCAATTGTCTCAAGTTCTCATCCTTTCTCAGATACGGGCAGAAGAGTGTGAAATCTGAGTTTTACCGGTTATTACTAACTGCCAGATGCCTCCTGGTACTGTGGGACTATGTTCAGTCCTACAGCTCCAATAAATCTTGGTTCCACAAAGTCAGAACATTTGTGTGTACTGGTAGAAATTTTTCGTGAGGAAAAAATTTGGTAAGAGGCTCTTACTGTGATGGAGTAAAAGAAACAGGATAGTGATTCCATACTAATCACCTTTGCATTACATTTTTTAAGTAAAATTCAGACGAATGGGGTGTTGGCTAAAGTAGCAGTTATTCCCTCATGGACAGGGTCAGACAAATCCCATTGCAAATTTCCAGAACCATGTTTGGTGCCACTAGTACAGATGACCCTTAGGCCTCTAGAAGAACTACCATTTTCCCACCATGGACCACAGCTTCCAGTAAGTTCTTTAATTACTACTTTTAACAGCACAAAATACAGAAACCACTTGTTTTAACCTTCTCCCATTCGAGAAACTTTGCACTTTCATTCTGTTCAGAATATGAAGAAACAACTGTTCTTTTGCTTTAGTATTTCTGCTGCTTTAACTTTTTGGTTCTCCTGTTGTTAGGGTGTTATCCACTACTCTCTTATCAGTAATACTCACAAACTGACATTTGTACAAATGCATTTTTATTGTTTTAACAGAACCAAAGAAAAGTTGAAAACATTAGACTATACAATACATTTTGTTTTATAAACAAAGTTTTATAGTGGTAAAACATTTCTAAGTGACATTCATGGTCTTTTTCAAATTTTTGCTGCATTTCAGGCCTGAAGACCAACATTTTTCAAAAAAGCAGTAATTGCATAAGGTGGACAAGTATCTTAGCTTCTACAAAACAGTTCAAGAACTTCTAGTAAACATTCTGGAAGAATATCAAAGGCAACCATGATTCTTAACTTTCCACCAAACATTCCTCAATAAACAAAGGTGATCTTTGGCATAAACAATTATGTATTGAAGGCATTAATAATATTGCATTAGTATCAGTCAAGCAACTAAACAGTGATGCTAGGGGAAAAAAAAAAAAAAATCTCAGCAAGAAGGCTGAACTGGGGGGGGGAAGAAATGTGAGGAGCACTGAGAAGTAATACAGGAAGACTATTTAGAAAATCCCTTAAAAAATAACCCCTACCTACTCAAGTGTTATTTACTATTAAATAGAAATTACTACATTACAATTCTGTTAAAGATCTGGTATAAACCAACCAAATGCAAGACATTCAGGTTAAGGCTCTGGCACCCCTTCCTTCCTCTTCCTCTTGCAGATAAAGGCAAGAAGAGAATACCAAGGAAAGATCCCAAGTACCACATATTTCATAATACCCAGACACAAGGAGTGAATTAAAGATGAATCCATGCTTTCTCTTGCTAAGGTCAGTTTGAGGCAGTTGTAGTATAATCAGTTTAACTTCCCTTTTTAGATAACAGTGCAATGCAGGGCGGAGGGGAGAAAGTCCAGGGGTTGCAGGCCAGTGAAGGACAGCTGGCTGTGTTGTGTCTCTCTGCCTTCCAGCTGTTAAGACCGAGCAGTTCTTTCCACAAGGGCACTTCTGTTAAAGGTGGTTTGATCGTGCAACAGTTTTCAGCAAATTAAGAGGGCGTCACGAGGTCAGTGCTGATCTGGGCAGAAGTCTGCAAGTGTTCCTTGCAAATGTGCAGAGCTTCATTCTAAAACAATACTTCTCCTTTCTGTCAAATGCCAAACCAGACTATGCAACAATTAAATGAATGTGTATGCATATACATATGGATAGACAGATGAAGGCATGCTCAGTTATGGAGGAATAAAACTATTCGAAGTCTATTTCAGTAATAGAGGGCAGGAAATCTGTGGTTTGTTTGGGTTTTTTTAATTGCTGTGGTTTTGTTTAGGTTAGGGGCTTTTTTTGTGGCTTGCTTTTTTTTTTTTCGGTGGTTTTGGGTTTGTTTTTGTTTCCCCTCCAGATACAGTAACACTTAGTTCACTTCAGTAACTTGAAAAAAGATTTTGAGCCTCCAAACTGCAAACATCAAAACCAGTAAAAATATCCTAGTGTCATTAGCATTAGGAACCACTGTTTGCTGGTAGCCACCAGGTTACCTAAAAAGGGTTTCATGTCCCTGCAGTGCTTGGGTGTCAAAAAGCTTCAGCATTGTTAGAAACATGGGTAGTGAAGCTAAAGGTCTTTTTTAACTGAGCATCTTTATCTTTTAAGTTCCACCTTGAGTGGCTAGAATAACATTAGATGGAGGGAAGAGAACAAAAAGAATAACTGTATGTGCTCATTTGGTTTTCAAAAGGAAAAAGCCAGCACAGGGCATTTTCAGTCCTGGACATGCAGCTAGCTTAAGAGAACCAGGACTTTTCAGCTCAATACATTACTGAATTGAGCAAGATGGAAAGGGTTCCATGATTTAAGGTCTCCAGCCATAAGGCTCAAACTCTCAACAGTGTTCCACTAACATCCACTGCAAAGCATTTCAGTACAGTGCCAGCGTTATGGAATGCCCACCTACAGGGGGACAGGAGGGTGCCAAAGACAGCTCCAGTTTTTGTTAAAGTACTGTGGCCAGGCAAAAATCAACATCATAAAACCAAAAAATTTAATTTCACATATGGAACTTTAACCCCCAGTTTACAACTGTTCTGCTGCTCCCCTCTCCCCTCTTTTAATTAAAACCCCACACCTCCCATCATTTCTGCATGGTTTAAGGGCAGCCAGCTAAAAACCTGTTGAAAAGTTGAAGGTTTCCATATCGATAACTGTCCCTAAAAAACTGCCAAGTAACCAATAGTGTCTTAGATTCTCAACACAAGCTTAAAGTGAGGTCCATGTTTTATATTATCACGTGGAAACTACTAGAATATACAGTGCATAAATGAAATGTGCTTCTGGGGGTAGTACAGAATTCATGAAAAGAACCTTTACAGAAAAAAAAATGTCTACTGTCGGAAACAATTTTGAGGTGTTTGATATCAAAAGCATTCCAAAGACATTTGAGAAGCATTCTCTTGTAATTCATACCCTTAGAATGGGGCATTAGCATAAGCTAATCTTCAGCTCATGTATACAGCACCTTTTGCTCTTAATGTATCTGTTTCCAAAAAAAGGCATTTTGTGTTATGGAAAATACTTGTTGCAAATGTTTACTGATACCACGGGGTCTTTCTGACCCATCGAAGAGTGAATCCAGCATCTGTTCTTATCTTAATGGATGCTGCCTCAGCTTCTCTCACAGTTTCCTTCACAGACTGCATAAGATTCTGGGCATTATGAACCAACATCTCAGTTGCCTGTCAAGAAAAAGAAAAATTTCCAATCCATTAGCAAATACCATGTTCAGGACAGTAGGATGGAAATCCATTGTGCCTGAGGAATTAAAGCTTAGTGTCTCAAAGAAGAATAATATCTCTCTGAAGCCAGAACTGCAGGATTCCAACTGAAAACATGCATTTGGAACGCAACTGCAGGACAAGTACTCAAGATGTTGTTGGAGAATAAGTATTTTCAGTAGTATCCCCCAGAGGGCACCGCTGCTCCTCCACCCTCAGAGCTGCTCCACGTGCAGGAGCAAGTTCTGGCCTTGGCTCTCTCTCAAAATCAAGATTAGCAAGTCGTTCAAAACTTGAACCAGAGTAGCTTTTTAGCTTGGGAAGGACTGATGTGCCTTTGGTTAAACTGTAGCTTTTGAGACAGAAGCCAAGGTGCTGTGTTCTCTTCACTAAATCAGCTGATGTAAGCTTCCAAACATTTTGTTCCCAGAACAGGTCTGGTATGACACGTTGTAATAAAACTGATCAGCAATTCCACACTACCATCATTTTTCACATCTCTTACCTGTTCTGACTCCTCATCACTGATATTAGTTCTGCCCAGCATGGTAGCTTTGACAGTGGAGAGAATTTTCAGTTGTGTGCTGATGGTTGGGATTCGCTCACAGACCTAAGGAATGTGGATAAAAAAACCTTCACATTGTGAATTCAACCAATAATAATCTATTGTTTTTTTCAGATAAACTTTTTTACTCTGTTCTACTACCAGATAAGGAGTAAGCATAGAGGGATCTTATAACCTTCAAGACTTTCTCCCAAATGTTGGTAGGATACTTGAGTCTTACTTCACTTGCTTTGGGAATTCTTGGGTTGGAACCAATATTTTTCCTTTCATCCAGATATTCCTTAAGGGCCTGCTTGCTCAGGAATGGGATGATGTCTATTTGGCTGAGACTAAAAAACTAAGGAGTGTGATATTTCTGCTACTATTCTTTGATACAAAGGAATGAGTAGACAAAATGCAAAGCAATGCAGGCTTAGGACAGACCAACGTTCATAGTAGGGTAATTTTCAGAACTTCCTTTGGGACACTAGCATCTTCTACTTACCTGTAAACAAACCCTGACTTTACAGAATAGGTATGGCCATGGGTCCTAGAAACAGACACAAAACTTGACAAAACTTTGCAAGCCAAGGAAAGATACACGACTGACTGCCACAGCTCCTGTGCTTACTCATACTAAGACAGGAGCATAGAAAAAAATACATATTTGAGGAATATACAGGTTAACTTGTTACCTGCAAGAGGTTCGTTCTAATGCGCTTGTCAGTGCACTGCTTTGCCACCTCTTTGGCTAACCGAGTGACTTCATCTGATGCCTTAGCAATATCCTTTGCACACTGAATAAGGGCACGCTTGTTTCCACTGCCCCCTCTCACCAGGCGTGACATCTCTGCCATGAGCAGCGCCATTCGTTTGGCAGCAGCAATGATGTCATTACCCTGCAGAGAACAACAGCAGTTAGCGTCCGTGCCCGGACAGAAGCCTCACACAAGTCACGGCTGAATGGCAGTCTACAGTTTGGTAGCAATCCTTTCAAGAAGTTAAGGATGGAAGGACCATTTGTGAACACAGAAGAGGTTTCTTCAAGGAACAGGGAAGATCTGTACTAATTTTATGTTTCTGACATATTTCTTCTGAACACTGAGGAAAAAAGTTTGTTTCAAAACTAGAAGAGAAAAGTGTTAGTTTGTCCATGGAATTCGAGTTACTGCTCTGCTGGCTAGGTTTTAAGATAAAACATGTTATTAGCATTTGAAGTTCCAGATTTCAAAAAAAAAAGGCTTTTTTAAGGTAAAAAAGTGTGCTAAATAGCTTGGTAAACCAATAGCACTAATTAAGTTATATAGTGCAGTCATTATAAGTTGAGCATAAAATTTTCAGTGGCATCTGAAACTGAAGTTGTTAAAGCATTAGCTATGCTGCTAGAAATGCTAGAGGATAAATGGAAGAGAATCTGTAACATGAAAACCTTTTTAACAGGTTATGTGGAAATGAGATGCAATTATGTTTTTTTTCTGAAACGTTTAAGTTAGTCGTTGAAAATATATCTTCCTTTCTGACAAAATCTCCTCTTTTAAAACGTCCAGGAGAGAAGAACGTGCTATTTCAAGAGATAATCTAGTGATATTTCTTACATTTAAACCCAATTTTCTTGTAAAATTAGTCACAGAAATGCTTCTGAGAAATATTGGAAAAATGTGAGTGAAGTATGACCAAGGCAAAACCACTTCTTATGCACTGTTCCAGAGAGAAACCTAGTGCAAGAAAAAGCAGACCTAGATGATTAATATTTCATAATCTGTTAGTATATTTAAATTCACCTTTGTAAACAGTGTTGTTAGAGGAAAGTGAACTATTTGGTGCCATGAAGCATTCCTGTTGTGTGGATGAATTATTAGCAGAGAGAGTTTAAGTATTAGCACACTCCTTCCTTGGCATAATTCCACAAGTAATGACCAATGAAGTTCAGAAGAGGACACAGCAAGAACCCCGCTTGGCAAACGTTCTCTATCCCTGTGCACATACTTCCGTGGCTCACTACTAGCAAATTCAAGAAGCTATCCCAGATACAGGTGACAAAAAGCTGAACTATTTGTTACCATGACCTAATAGCTAAACAGTTTGCTAGTATAACCAGTTAGGATTCAAATGACATAACACAAGCTCTTCCACATTTTCAAGTAGGAGGATCAAGAAATTAGGACCAGGGTCATTTACGAAGCCCTCTAACAAGTTATCCAAGCATCAGAATCTGAAAAGGACAAGAACATTTTTAAAGTCCTTTTTATTAAAATAGTTTCATGTATCTATGTAAATGTGCATACACACATACTTACACATACACACACACCCCCAACCTTCATTACAAGACACCAGCCTTCTCTTGCAGCATGCTACAGAAAAGTGACCAGTCTTGCAAACATTTGTGCTTAGACAGAAGAGACAGGCTACTTGTGAATGTCTGCACCTCTTATTAGATTTCCATTGGTTTCATATAAACACAAGCTCAATTCAGCAGCTAAGAGCATTCAGTTGCAGCTTCTTCATAAAAGAATTCTCTTAAGACCAGCATTTGCAATACAGCCAAGTGCAAGCCAGCAGACAGTCAGTCCTCTTCAATAAACACTGCCATACAAAGCCATTCCTTGTTGGAAGGTATTTTAATTTATGGCATCAATGAAGGCAAAGCTCAATAGACATGTTAAATGACTTCTTGAATGCTGCATATTCTGCTGTGTCTGGAAGTCATTAAGAAACTATTAACCATGGCTTCCCAGGTAGCCCAAATGAATGGAAAAGAGAACACAGTGGGAGAGAAGAGAACCCCTACTAGAATTTGAAAACTGTCATAACAAAGAAAAACAGGCAGATGCAAAGGCAGAGAAAGCCTTTAAATATTAATAAGTGACCCAAATCAAGCTTCAGTCCGGCACTGACAAACAGATCCAGCAAACCTGTGAAGGCACTCTCAGCCTTTAAAATGAAGTGCAGACACACTTATTCATTCAGAATGGCAGGGCCCAGCAGGGATCAAGAGTGATGCAAATGTGTCAGCGTTCCAAGTGGCTGGATGCACGCGGATCAGTCCCCGGGGAGACTCAGGAGTACCTTACTAGACCACTTGGTTGCTTCCCGATGTAGAGACTGAGCAGCAGCCAGAATGGGCTGGTTAACAGGCTGATTGGTTGGCATTAACAGCAGCTCAGGCTCGTAATCATCTTCAATGTCAGAGGGGAGAGTGAATTCAACATCTGCATCATCCTCCTCATCTACATCTACACCAGCCTCAGCCGCTTCATTAATCACAGTCACATCAGGCTTTGCAGGTGGCAGCAAGGGCGAAGAAACAGGGGACAGTTAGTACAAGAAGCAGAATTTGGTAGAAGAGCATGAACTGTGCCTGGTTTAGTGACCTCTTGGTCTCCCAGGATCTGACAAAGCAGCTCTACCTACGGTCAGGTCAGAGGGAGAAGGGGAAGGAATAAAAGATTAGCAGAAGGAAACAAACATTTCACCTGTGAACCAAAGGTACCAAAAATATTAAGAAGTTACAACTCAAAGATGCAGCAACATTTTTCATCTGAGCATACAAGCTTGTACAGAGGCTGACTTGCAGAACAACATTTTTCTGGCAACACAATGGTGAAATAAATGGATTTTGTTTCAATGAAAGCCATTTTGACTGCATAGAAGCAGGCACAGCAGCTGATGACTGTGGCAATTGTGCAGATAGAAAGCTTTGTATGGAAGCCTGTTCACATACATGTGATAAGAAATAGCAGCAGGATCACAGAAAAAACACTGACACTGCTTGCTGTAAAGTTGAAAAAAGGTGAGATGGAAGACGCTGTAGAAATGAGTACTGAAGTACTGCAGAAAACATGAAAAAGAACAAAACCAGGTTATGAAAAGAGGAGATGACAATGTTATAAATGCTTTATTACAGTTCTTAAAAAAAAGACTGGAACAGAATTAGTAAAATATTCTTATTATGAAGCATATAATACTGTTTTGCCACAGTATGTAGTTTCCATTACCTTCAAAGAAAAAGGATTCAAGCAAATATGTCGTGTTAGGTTAGAACACAGGAAAGAGTTAAGTGGTATAACAATACAGGCATTTATAATACAGAAGCATTTCAACAAAAACATTCTAGAGGTTTACTAACTGTACTTCTTTGACTAAAGCCAAGTGTGATAGCAGTCAATCTACCCTTACCAAAACTGATGCATTTTCAACTGTGTTTTGCTTCAGATATGACCTTCAATAGGAAAAAACAAAACAACAACAACAAAGAAATCAACATGAACAAAACTACATAGGAGTTTTGGTAGGAAGTTGTAAGTTTTATATGCTGCCAAAACAACTCATCTCCAAAAACAATTTCTATTTAAGTCTTAATCTAATGAAACATTTCTAAATATCCCTCATTCTCTTATTCACCGACATGAGATGGAAAGTCAGGGAAAGCTAAAGCAACAGACAGTGTTCAATTATTGCTCCATGAGAACAATAAGGTACATAAGGCCAGAATCTACTCAAAGAGGAGTTTTTGTAAAGGAGAAAATAACTCCATTTTAAATCTTACAAGAATGAAGAATGTTCTCAAAGGTTTTTTAAAGACTAAGTACTTGTTCACCCCCTTCGTAAGTGTAACACATGGTAAAGTACCATCAGACTGGACTAATAGACAAAAAAGCCAGAAGACAGTTGACACAGTATATTGTGATTTAGTTTGAGCAAGACCTTCTATTTCTAACCCGTGATCCTCAGTACCACTGTCCATCAGTCCTCCTCCCACCCAGGAAGTGACTTCAGAGACAAGAAAAATATTTTTAAAACTTCTCCCCTAACACATTCAGAATAACTGTACTCCTGTCACTAAAATGGGACTGCTAAAAAAAGAATAAGTAGGAATGCCAAGCTAACTCATTGATTTGTTGGTCTGAAATAAATAAAAAAAAAAAAGCAATGAAAATAATGTTTTAATACCTAAAGACACCAAGCTTAGAGCACTTTCATAATCAGCAAGGAGTTTCAAGGTCTACTGCCTTGTTTTGACAAATATTTTAATAGTTGCACTGTTTAGACTGTATATAGTGTATATATAGGTAATTTAGCATATATAGCAAAAGCTTTTTATTACCTACTGTGTATTGCTAAGTTGCCTATTTTGGGATTCAAACATCAAAACACTTTTAGGAAGCTGAAATTAAGGCTTTGGCCTCAAAACTACCTCCTGAGGTTATTAACACATTCTAGTACTATCCATTTAATAATATAAATATGTATTAGATAGATTCAAAAGTATGAGAAGAATAATGCTTTTCATTCGATGGAAAAGACAGCCAAATAGATTTTCAGGACTTTTTGTATTTTATCTGTACTTCCAAAACAGATGTTCCTTAAGCACAAAGCACTGAATTTAATTCTGTAAGCTATTCATCTTCTCATTCACCATCTAATTTGATGGCAAAAAAAGGTGGCTATTTTAAAAGCCAAATTCTGATGTTTAATTTATACCTGCAGAAGCGTAAATCTCAGAAGTTCTTACTCAATTGGTGCCAGCACAAAAACTTAGCCCTTTGGGGGGAAAAAAGGGGAAAGCAAAAACAGTTATATTAGAGTTTATAAGACTGACAAGTTCACGCTGCTTTGTCATAGCACTGAAATGGTAAGGAGATGAAGGATTTTGACCTTGATAGTAAGTATTACTCACTAGAAAAAAAGAATGAAATCAAGCCATCTCTATATGGTCACTTTTCTGACCATAAATGTATGAGATAAACTGTAAAGTGACTTGCAGCTCCTTCCAAAATTAAGACAAACAAGCTCATGATTCCTGCAGCTGCCATCTGCCACATTCATACAGACGTTTCAAAGTCACTCAAGATACAGAAATCATCTTGCCAGCCAAAAAAGGCTTAAGTATTAGTGGCTCTCTAGGCAATATGAGCATCAAGGATCACCAACAGCTTAGCATACAAGGCATATTTGTGTTCCCAGAGGTATGCTAATAAAGCATTCTAGCAATTCGGAGTATTAGAAGAGTTGACCCGAGTTCACTCTGAACTTGAAAAGGTTTCTAATTCCTGCTATGGCGGCGTTTTCACTATTTAGTCTATAAAAGTCTTTTGTTGTTATCGAGACAACTGACTTTGAACCAAGCACACTGATCCTAAAAAAAAAAATTCCTTTTACCTCAAGACACAACTTCTTACCTTGCTAGACCATTTCCGTGCTTCATCGTGCAACTGCCTAGCAGCCATCATCATGGGCTGATTAATAGCTTCTCCTGCTTTCTGCTCTGGGAACTCTTCATCCTTTTCTTCAGGTGGTGGTGGTCTGGGTGGGGGAACCTCACCTTCTGGGAGTGGTGGTTTTGGAGGAGCAAGCTCATCAGTCAGCTAGGAAAGGCAAAAAACTTATTCAGGGCAATGAAATGGTACACAGATGGAGTTAAGGATGCTGTCATGACAAGACCCCATTGGATGACCTCACCTCTTTTTCCAGTTTATCAAGTGCACCCTATTAAAGGGAATACTATGTTTTAATCTCTTTTGTTGAAAGCTGGATTGGTATTTTTAGAATTTAAAGCTAGTCATATGCATAGCTGGCCAGGCAATGCATTTTATTTGTAAAGAATAATAATATCACTCACGTAACTTCAGCACACAATCCACATGGCAGTGACAACTGTGTACTTTATTAGAAACTACACTGCACTTACATGGAGCTGCTCAAGGTCAGGAGGAGGAGGGGGGAAATCTGGTTCCTGAGGCTGGAAGGCTTCTCTGACTTTGGCCACAGCTCCAAGAATTCTGTATCCAGAATCCAAGAAACTCTTCTGCAAACCTGAACAAAAATCCCATTACCAGTTTAAAAGCATTCTGTATATTTAGAACTGCAATACAACCCAAAAAATTACTTCTATAACATATGGTGCCAAGTACACTTATATCCATGAAAAAAGATGTTTAAAAACTACCAAATTATTTACAGTGGATTTACATGTTGGGAATGTTAGTGTCATATGCCTCATGCACGAAATAAAGCCTAGACTAACAGTCACATCAATAGCCAAAGTAATTCATAAAATAACTTTTAGAATAAAAGAAATTATGTAATATTTTCTTAAAGAATAACTACTGATAACTAGTAACAAATACTTTAATAAAGATTACAAAATCACATAATAAACTATATAGAATGCTGGATCCTTTTCCCTTGAGTATGCCACAGGTCTTTGCTTACACTAAAAGAACAGGATTCTGCAGCGCATGGTGTGACCTTTATTTGACCACTCCAGGATTTAAGTGTACACAGTACTTGCAAAAAAGGAAATACACAGCTGTACAGGACAAAATGAGTACAACTCTACATCATCTTCAGCCAGAAAAAATCCATTTGAAGTCAGCTTACTGAATCCTTACCAGGATCAGAAATGTTTCCTGCCACAGCTTTAGCATCCATTACCATTGGTGAGATAGTTCTGCTTAGCTCATCAGAGGCTGCTTTAACAGCTTCTCGGAATTTAGGGTCTTCTGAATTTTCAACCTCCCGTTTTGCTACCAGTAGGATGCGGTTGGCTCGTCTAGCAATGCTGGTGGCACCAGCTACCAGCATCTGAGGTTGAATGTTGGCCATTGCAACTTTACATTTATCAAGATCTTTCTTAATAGCTTCTTCTGATGCATCCAACAGAGACTTGGTGTCAATGGCTTCATCCACCAACCCTAGAAAAGAAGTTAAACACTTTAATACTCTAGTTTCATCTGTGGAAAGGGATATTTGTTATTCCAGAGACTGTTCACAACCAGAAAATGAAGAATTTCCAAATTAGGGGGTGTGGAGGGGTGGAAGGGTGCACGGATGTCAAACCTAATTTTTACTTCTAATTCTGTGGTACCTCTATCACAGTAACTGTGGTCAAGCTTGCTCCCACTAACTACATCCCAGGCTCTTACTCAGCTACTGTGGAATGTTGCTTGAGTCAAGATCTGGCTTACACAGTACATGCAGCAGAGGTTCCTTCCTCCCACCAAAGCTCTTCAAGCCTATTCAGTACTTTTTCCATCTCTCCCATTCATGGAAAAGGCAATACCCCTCTGGCTACACCTTTACTGAAAGGTGATATACAGTGACAGAGCAGTAAGATTTAAAATACCCACAGTTTGATTATGGGGATGAAGGATGAGGTAGTATACACTCCAGAGATTAGCAGATCAGTGCGAAGGGTCTGCACTTTGAAAGGGCAATCACAATAAAATGTAAAATTATTTTCTTTTTCCTACAGAAGAACTAAAGCTGAATTTGCTCCCCTGTAGCTCAAAATTACCACAGAGTCATAGAATGCTTTGGGTCAGAAGAGACCTTTAAGGATCACCTAGTCCAACCCCCAGTATGAGGCAAGCTACTTTGTTTATGCTGCAATGTATATGTATTTCTGGAGCCAGAGAGCACATTCTTAATTGTCTTATTTCAATTAGTCATTACTCTTATGAATGTTTCATCAGTCCAAACAGAATGGGGAAAAAAAGATGTATACCAGGTAGTTGGCCACAAGCCTCGATTAAAATTTCCTACGTCACCTGTCATTTTCTCTACATTATCGATCCATTGGTTTTTCATGGTCTCAAAATGTTCATAAGCAGCTTGATTTCCAGGATTTCTCAGAAGGATACGAGCAGCTGATACTACCTGTCAATGGAAAACATTCTTAATTATGGAAGCATCAGTATATAACAACATCACACTGTTTTAAGAAATGCATTTCTTTCTTCAGGACTATGTAGCTGCTCATTTGGAATAAGAGTTCTTTAATTCTAGCTCAACATCTAGCTGCTTGAAGATCTACAAAGCTTCTGGACTTTGACGACACAAACACTTTCATTCTGGAATTGGAATTACATGCTAATATATTGTAAAAACCACTTTTTGAAAGCACTGAGCTACAATACTCTACCAAAGTTTTAGCTAGAAGGTTTATTTGAAAAAAAAAAAAATCATTAAAGGGCATTTTCTCCACTCATGTAAGCCTCAAAAGTAATTTTGTTTCAAGGATGTCACTACTACTTCTAACCAAAAGTTGAAGAGTAAGATTTGTATCTAATCACTGTGTTCTACTTGGTTTCATATACGCAAATATTTACAAATATTCGTGTATATGAAAAACTGTCAGTCCTATGCACCTTGCTGGTATGAACATCTCTGTCTGAGAATCGAAGCATAAAGAAGATTCCACAGAAGTCATCCCCAGCCTTTTCAATCGCCCTTTGAGACCAAGGAAGCAAACCTGTGGGGTAAGTTCCCGTGCCGATTTCACTGTTGCCTGAATGCCCTCCACAGTAGTTTTATTTGCAGTTCCAACTGCAGCTGCTTTTTCTGCTGTAGCTCCCAGTCTAGCAGCGTGGTTTTCAAAGTTTGCTGCTCTTTCATCAAACACCTAGTTGTTAGAAAAGAAAAAACATTTAAAAAGCTTAACTTCCCTAACAGAATACACAAATTCTTCTAGGTGTCAAGTACCAGAGGCACCTTCACAACATCTCAACTTAATTCGTCTCCTGAGAGGATGCAGCAGGACACCAAAGTTTTGAAGCTATTCTGTTTTTTTTCATCTTCACATTACTGGACTTTCTTCTTTACTAGGTTATTTGGGCAGCAAATACCTCACACTATCACTTTGAGGTATTAAGTATGCTAGTTCCTGACAACTACTGCTGTAACAAATAGTGTGCTAAAACTCTTTCAGCTCACAAGTTTATCTTCAAACCCATAATCCAAAAGTAACTATATTTGGAAGATAAGTGCAGGCTTTTGCTCTAAAAATGAAAGATTCACATTGGGAAAAATTCCTTTCTTCCACGGTCCTTAGTTATTCAAGGCATAAAATACTTTGGCAGTAAGTGATTGATTCTGTGAAAAGCTATCTTGTCATGAAGCTAAACTCCTCAAGGCTTTGGGGAATTATTTTGGTAATGTTCAAATCGTCTAGCCAAACAGAGCTACTACATACAGAGTTTTAGATACTTCATATGCAGCCAGTAGCTTTGAAATACAGGAAACACTACCCAGAAAAAAAAGCAGGTGAAGTCTGTTGATCAATCTTGACATGCACTTGACTATTTTAATCAGCTTATATGATACTGAAATACACAATCCACTAACTAGTGTGTCAGTGGCCTGTGCACAAGAATTTTTAGCATGCAACATGGTATGAACATCACAGGGAGTAATCTTTGAAATATATTGAAGTCAGGGACAATACAGTTTCCAGGGATATACAGAACAATTCACAATCTCCAAGAGTCCAGAGCAATACGCACAGCAATCATTATGCTGTCAGAATTAATATGTATCACAAGCTTGAGGAAAAAAAATGACAATTCATTTTTCAAAATATGAATTCAGGTCAAATTAAACAGTAACCGAAGCTTCACACAGGAAAAAGATCACCCATGTATACTTGCCTCATCTCTATTGGGAGCATCAGGGGGAGCAGTGGCTGCTACTGCTAACAATTTAATAGGAGTTGTTGTGTCACTGAAAACATCAGATACCTCCTGGGTCATTGCCTCTTGCATCCGTGTTTTAAGATCCTTAGGAAAAAAAAAAAGAAAATTACTAACATATGATACAGGAATATTAAGTTTGTAAGGATTCAAATCCCATAAACCTCTTCTTGCAACAAGAAAAGCCCATTACAATGGCAGTCATTAAGATTAAATGATCTTTAAATTGTGATCAATTAATAATCTGAACTACAAGAAGCTTGCATACTACTCCTTGGAGGTGCATCAGAAGCTATAAGCAGCATGATTTGAGACCTTGCCCCTCAAGTCTGCAATGCTAGCATACTATTTTCTTTTAAAATGAGACATCAATTTTACTTCTAAATTGTTCTTTTGGAACTAATTCCTAGAGCACAATATCAAGGCTTTTGTATAAAGTTTGTTTTCAACATCTCAGCTGAACTAACAGGGTTTTACTGCACTCTTGTTTTTATTGATGCCTCACACACACAAGCACTTTATCAGAGGACTGCAAATATTTCAGCATATCATGTGTTTCACTGCACAAGAGCAGATTTTTACCTTCAGCGAGTCCTGCAGCTGAGCAGCGATTGCCCTGGCCTGAGGAGACTCTCCCTCCCCTCTTGCTGCAAGGTCAGCTAGCTGAGCAGCCAGCTGGTCCACACGGTCACATTTGGCCAGCAGGTCTTGACGATAAGGTCCCATCATAACATTGGCTAAACGACGGCCTTCTGCAACCAAGCCCCGAATTGCTGCTTGGCCTACAGTGGAAGAAGATACATTGCGTTAATATACAGGGGAACAAAGTATTGGAAGTGTAAAAAAGTTGCACCATGAAGTAAGCAACACTTCAGAATTTGTGGGCTTTTAAAAATACCTTCCTAGGTAGTGAAAAGCATCTTCTGCAGCTTATTGTTGAGTACTTGCAGTTCACACCTATTAGAGAAGTTCAACTCTCACCAGTTTCTTTTTGTTTATTGCAGCAACTCCAGCTAGAGATACATCCTTTTCAACTAAGGTGGTCTGACAGAAGTTGACTGTTATAGCTGCCAGGTATTCCTGCATAACTCATCTGTTGACTCTAACAGAAAGCACTTCCACATTCCAAGCACTGCAATTCATCTCCACATCATTCCAAGTCATCAGAAGATGTACAGGAAGAGGGGGAGAAAAACCAAATATGAAACAAATGAAAAAGCAGGACAGCCTTTCCTAGGATTCTAGGAATCATGGGTAGTTACTGTAAAGTGTCCAGGATGGGGAAGAGGAAGCACCTTACAAAGCCTCCACAGTGTGTTTAAAGGTTTTCTGTAAAAAAATTGGGGTTTAGGCATGAGCGACAGAAGCTTCCTGTTCTTTTACAAGATTATTCTCCGAATATGCTTCTTCATTCTTTCAATAACACAATAGTATTCTTCTTTTAAAAGAAGTCATCATATATTAAGTCCTTTAAAGACCTACTGAAGAGTCATCTTAAGCCAACGCTAACACGCAAGTAATCCAAGTTCATATCAAGCTCAAAATTACCTAGAAGTTGTCACAGGACTCGACTATCCAAGAGTCACTCGGCACTGCCACCGTCATTTTAGAAAGCTTATTAGTGTAGCCAAGTTTTGTGCTGTTGGAATGTCCCAAGACATTTTTTCAATTGTTGTGCTTGCTTGGCTGCACTTGACTTACACAAAACACAGAAGTTACAATAACTAATAATATCGCTACATGTAAATATTTGTAGCAGCTAGCACGACTGAAGTGGCTCACATTTTTAAAATGAAATACACATTCTGCCTTATTACTTCAAAATTTAGTTTGTGTTTAAATGCTACCCTGGGATAACTGCAAACACAGTTATTTGTGACATGGTCATTACTATTGCAGAGAACACTGAAGTATTTTCACATGATCACTGAAAACATCAGGCCCAATTCTAACAGAAGTGCTGTCCAGACTGAAGAAAGCACATACCTGATTTATATTTTTACTATATCTTTCCAATAACCACCCTGCTAAGTGCCAATGCAAGTGAAAGCTATTTAAATTAAAAAAAAAAAAAATGTACAGTGAGATCAATTTACAACTAGTATTTTTTAATTACCTATACACATTAAAGTTAGGGGACATACCACATCTTACATCTCTACACACGTTTTTATCATATGTATTACACCAGCAATTGATTAATATGTTCAGTGTTGAGAAACTTCAGTACCCTCAGAGCAAGTTTTCAGTATGCATGCAAGCCTCATGACTAACTAGGCACAATACAGACTTCAAGAGGGATTTAAGTTACCTTTGTTTCTTTTAAATTAAAAGGAATAAAAATTAAATTTAGGTTTTGTGCTTTTTTGAGACAACCCCACCACACACGTCACTATGTTTGTGTTAATACATTCAAGAGAAACATCAAAATTATGAAGGGTTTCAGCCATTGCCAAAACATCTCATGAGACCCATCTACTGCCCTCTTGGTCACCTCCTTCTGCATGCCGTTCGCTCATCAGAAAGTGTCAAAACATGGAACTCCACTATTCTATTTCAAATATAACACACAAATTTGTACTTCACAAGCGTGCAAAATATCAACATCACCAGATCTTTAATTCAAGGATCTGTCATTGGTTATTCACACAACAAAAGTTATCTTGACAGACAGGGAAAGGTGTGACGAAGAGCTTTGGAAGTCTTGCCATTATACTACTTCTTATAAGGCACGTTTCCACTTGTCGTCAGTTGCACTGTTCAGCCACAACTGCACTGCTCAGACTTAACTGCTATGGAAAAAAACTACTGAATCTGCTTTTTAAGCTTCATCCACCTGCTTGCAATAGCATCACAAGAAGCTAAGATGCCTGAGAAGGCATCTCAGAAATGGTTTACAACAAGCTCTCTGCAGAGCTTCTCCTGAACCATATTTATGTGCTTGCTGATAGCATGCTTAGATCTTCAGCTCACAAGGTGTGAGGAAGAGGTATTGAAGGCTTGCCATTATACTACTACTTATAAGGCACATTTCCACTTGTCAGTTGCACTGTTCAGCCACAACTGCACTGCTCAGACTTAACTGCTATGGAAAAAAACTACTGAATCTGCTTTTTAAGCTTCATCCACCTGCTTGCAATAGCATCACAAGAAGCTAAGATGCCTGAGAAGGCATCTCAGACATGGTTTACAACAAGCTCTCTGCAGAGCTTCTCCTGAACCATATTTATGTGCTTGCTGATAGCATGCTTAGATCTTCAGCTCACTTCCTCTTTGATTAAATAGCTTCTCCTCAGTTAACCCAGTAACCATACAAGTAGTGATACCTCTAGGTCAGGCTTATGAATGTTTTTTTCCTCTCTGAATGACTTCATTACTTAATTTGCTGGAGCAGGTATAAATTCAAAATCTAGGTACTATACTTGCATCCTAATAAGAGCAAGAAGCAGTCTAACGTTAGTTTGTTCTACAGCACACATTCTCCTATTTTTCAAAGTTGTCATTTCCAGAAGACAAAGAATCATTAGTCAGCCTGATTCAATAATATTGCAGGCAGGACTTTGCTATAAACCTCCAGCCACAAACTGAAGGTCTGCACATTAGTGAAGAGATTTCATACATCCTCAGCATCTCAGGAGCAGTAATTTCAGTCATAAAAATGACACGTTTAACCATAAAACTGTGGGTGAAAGAGCACATGGAAACACTTACCTACTCCCCGATCAGCAACTGTAGGGTTGTCTATCCACCTTTGGGCTTGCTCAATCTTGCCTTCCAAATGGACAGCTGCTTTAACTGGCCTAGTATTTGCCACAGCCCTGTTTGTTTTGGACTGTAAATTCTGAAGCGATGTAGCTATTTGCTTAGCCAATGCACGAGCCTCAGGAGAGTCACCTTTCCCACTAGGGATCAAAAAAACAGTATAGTCATATAAAGATCATTTACACCTAGTCCCAAATTCAGCAAGGTACTAAGTCTTTTTAAAAAAGGTTACATCTGACACTTCAGTCTCGGACCAAACAATGCAGGTGTGTCACCCATGAATCCACACCTCGCACTTCCCTGCTGCTGCCCCTGGATGTCACACATGTTCAATCCAGCACTGGGAGGGGGGAAGGCATGGACTGGCACTGACAGAACTGGTGCATGGCTTCCAGTTCCCGTACTCATGGCTGTCTGACCAACAACTACAACAATGCCATGCAGATGACAAGCAGTCAAGTAAGTAGCAACAGACTCAAGGATGTATATAAGCGTAAAAAGAGGTAGCATATTAAGACCTGCAGCAGCCAAACCTCGAGTAAAGCATCTAACTAGTGAGCAAAAAAAAAAATATCTCCAGATTCCAACTGGCCATAAACGAAGATGACAGTTTATAAAATAACTGTTTCTTCACTTCCATTCTCAAGCATTCTCTCTGCCAAACAGATACAGAAATATAATTTCTGAAAGTCTTTTATACACTTTGCAGTTACAGCTTAGAACATTGATACTGTAGTGATCTTAGAACATTGGTACTATCTACCACTGAAGTGGTAGATATTCTACCTTGCCATTTAGTAAACTGCTTAGCAAAAAAACAGTGATGACATTTCTCTGTATAAATAAACTCAAGTTTCATACTATCTCATTCCTTTTTAAGTGCTTTGACAGGACTAAGGAGCTCACTTTTTGCTTTGGTTTGTCAAATTTTATAGACAGTAGAAAGAAAGCATTTTTAAGGTAATACCCCTCTAGTTACTTTTCGTTTTTCAAGGAAGACAGTTCAAGCTGGGCTTTGGGATAGAAATCATTAGGATGAACCATTAAAAAGGATACAATATTTTATAAATTACGGTGTTTTTAAAGGATGTTAAAAAGTTAGATTTTTTCCTCCTTAGCAAGATAGAAATACAGAAGTATAAAATATCCACTCATAGTTCTTAGATTAAAATATATTCTCCATCATCAATATTCTGATTTTCCTCAGCACTTTGAGCTGCAAATGGACATCAAATTAATGGTGACAAAAGTTCTACATACTGTCGTCGCAGATCTGACAGCTTAGCAGTCAAAGCAGAGATTTCCCCCAAAGAACGAAGGATATCATCTCTTTCTTTAGGCTCTTCACACAATTCTGCAACCTTCCTTGCTTCAGCCATAATTCCCCGGATATGCTCTTCTCCTTCACTGCCCCCATTAGGATCTGCAAGCCAGTTCTTAACAGAAGGAAGTTGTGTGCAAGTGAAGATAAACAGTAATATTATTTCCACAGAGATTTTTAAACAAAAAAGAAATACCAATACAGCTTTCAAAACTTTATTTAACAAAAGACACTTATCAAAAGCAATCTGTTTATTAGATAACATGAAGTTGTTCTATTTCCTGACAGATTTTCTGTTCTAAAAAAAGATGTCAAACTTGATGAAATCTACCCAAAGATTTTACATTCTCTCCCCAACATTTGCCTACAGTATTTTCAGAAGTAAGATTTACTGAGTGGCTTTAGAGACTCATGATCTGCTTTCCAGAAAAAAAAAAAAATGAGAACAGATGCTCTTGTGTACAGTGTGGCACTCTTTACAGAGCCCTTCCTAAAAAGTCTCATTATCTTTTCATTCAATACATATAAAATTGAAGTGTATATACATATTATTATGTATACATACAACCATTTAGATAAAATACATAGAAAAGCTTCATTATTTGATGACCATCCTCATCACTGGTTAATAGAGTGACCACTGAGGGAAATAAGAGTTATAAAAATAAACTATGAACTAAAAGAAAAAATAGTTTCATTAACTTCTTTTTGCTTTTGTCATGAATATCCAGTTCTAAATCCTGAACTCCACTCAAATAAGGAGAGCCCAAGTGAAGTGCTCTGGGTTTACCCACAGGTATATCTGTGTAGTCTGAAATTCCTCTACTCTTTTCTTTAATAAAATCAGTTTATGTCCAAATTTAGGCTGCTCCCTTATTTCAATTTCATAACCTCAGCATTTTTTGCATGGCTAAAAAATATGAAAAAAATGTCATAAGTTGTAGCAGAACTTGGAGCACCCTGTAAATTACTGAATGTAAGATTTTAATTTGGAAAAATGAGGTAGAATAGAACAGAATCACTGTGGTTGGAAAAGACTTCCAGGATCATCAAGTCCAACCT